AAGTATGTTCACACTGTGGGCATAATTACTTTCAGAAGCATGAAGGTTAGGTGTAATTGCGGGAAGATACGTTTAGGAAAAAGCTTGTTTGTAGTTTTTGTTTTGGTTTCCTTTCGGTAAGTGTCCATCTCGTCGCACCTTTATTGAATGTGAAAAAAACAAGAACAATGACGGATGTATCATGCCAGCTTCTAGCGGAAGATACATTCTCCATTTCGCATGTTTGGTGAGCAGTGCGACCAGACCCTATGCCCCATGTCTCTTTTATTCTGTTTTTTTTCAGAAGACACCCTTCTCACTTCCGTCCCTCTTTCATGTTGGGGCGGGATTCTTGTATTTTGAGCGAGGCACCGCCCCCGGAGCCTGACACATTTTATGCCCAACTCCGTATTGACACCCTCCTTTTCCCTTGGCGACTTTTGTTCCGCTACTAGTTTCGAAGTCCAAAGCTACTTAGTGACGTATCCCTCTCTCTCTCATAGTGTTTTTTTTCTCTCTTTTTTTTTCTCTCTCTCTCTCTCACACACACACACACACATACACACACACACACACACACACACACACATACACACACACACGCACATACACACACACACACACAATTATAGCTCTACTATGGTTAGGAGTCAGATCCTGACAGCAGAATAGACGACAGGGAGATAAATTTGCAGGTTTTTTTGCAGCTACCGCTCTACTATGGTTGGAGTGAGATCCTGACTGCAGAGTGGATAAGAACGGGGAGAGTGAACGATCAACCAACCATGATTGATAGTTGGAATGAACTTTCGCCATATCAAGATATAGAGAAAGGACGAAGAGAAAATTGGGGAGCAGTGGGAGAAAGAGGTGGATACGAGGCGAGGGGGTCGTAAGGAACGGTTAGTTGTTAGAAAGTGGAAGCCATTGGGAAAGAGAGAGGTTGTTGTTTTCTAATTTGCCAGTGCAAGCGTGATGCGAATGCCAGAAGTGGAAGCTTGTGTGTGTGTGTGTGTGTGTGTGTGTGTGTGTGTGTGTGTGTGTGTGTGTGTGTGTGTGTGTGACATACATAGATAGATAGATAGATAGATAGATAGATGGATAAAGATAGAGATAGATAGATAGATAGATAGATAGATAGAGAGAGAGAGAGAGAGAGAGAGAGAGAGAGAGAGAGAGAGAGAGAGAGAGAGAGAGAGAGAGAAAAAAAAAACAGGTTTTGCTTTTGTGATTTGTTGGTGCCTTTGTGATGTGAATCCCATGATGTGAGGAGGAGGGGTCTGTGCAAAAGTGCAAGTACGACGATGGTCAAGGTAACGTTGATAATAACATTAGTACTCTGATTCGCAGCAGGATCGAGTTTTCCATAATCGACATTCCTCTCCCTCCCTCCCACCCACCCACCCTCCCTCCCTGCTCCCAAGCGCCCTGCAGATAAAAGATAGTAGGCATGACCATATTTTTTTATTCTCTTTCCACACACTCTCTCTTTGTACAAGACCTTGGCACATTTTCTTTCCTTGTCCATATTGACACTTCTCATTTTCCAACTTTTATTTCACTACCAGTTTCAAAGGAGCTACTCACTTAGGAACCTTACTCTCTCACTCTCTCTCTCTCTCTCTCTCTCTCTCTCTCTGTCTCTCTCTCTTAGCTACCACTCTGCTATGGTTGGACTGAGATCCTGACGCAGAGTGGATGACAGGAAGGCGGAGAGGAGAATGAGGGATCAACCAACCGTGATCGATAGCTGGAATGGACTTTTGCCGTTATGAGATGGGAAAAAAGACGGAGAGCAAAATGGGAAGCAGCGGGAGAGGAGAACAACAAAGTGTAGGAGGAGGATACGACGAGGGAAATAAGCCATAAGGTGTGGGTGTGTGGTTAGAATGTTGAAGCCATCAAGATAAAGAGAGCGAGATAATTTTTAATTTTTTTAATCTGCTGGTGTCAGTTTGATGTGAATACCGAAATGTGAGGACGACGAAGTATGTGAGAGTATAGGGATGGCGTCAGTAATGTTTGTGATTGCATTGGTAATCACTGCAGGACGCAGGTTTTCCTGTAATTGTTGCTCCCCTCCCTCCCTCCATCCATCCCTCCCTGCTTCTCTGCCCCCAACTGACAGACGATAGTAAGGTATGACCACCTCTTCCGCACCATCTCTCTTCTTACAAGATAAAAGTTTTCGATGCCATGAGTTTAGCATTTTCACAGTGAAGGAATTGGAGAGCCGTAACCTTTCTGTAGCTACATTTGCCGATCTTGCGAAAATCGGATATGGCGAGTCGGTAAGAGTGGCAGAAGGTGGGGTGTTGGGTTGAGTGTGTCGACAATCAGAGCTGGAAGAAGGAGAAGGGTGGAGGGGTCACATTGAATATACCATAAACCAGCTACACGTTGAGGGTGGCATTGAGGGTACAACATTGCAGATTCATGCACTTGTGTGTCAAAATGATAACACTGCGTGCAAACACCACTGCATGGCGAAGTGCGTTGAACTTTTGTGTTGGCAAGCTTCGATTCTTCTTGCCCCATGCCTGGCTGGCACGTGACAACAGACTACCATGTGGTAGTGCCACGTTGGCGCTGGGAGAGGAGCACGATCCTTGGTAAGTGGTAGTGGAGAGGAGCAAGAGGTAAACTAAGTGTCACATGACAACCCTTGACAAGAAAATTGCAAACATATCCCTAGGGCATTGACTATCTTTTGTTTAATCCTTGATTGTGCTGCATTCTTTATTTGCTTTCATTGTTGGAAAAATCATTGTTCTCCTAAAACGTATTTAATTCGAGGATTACTATTGCAAGGGGATAGCCAATCCAGGTCCTCGCACCACAACAGACCGGTGCAAGACGGGCAGGGGACGAGCCGTATAGAATGACATGGGTCGAAGCATGCTGGAAGACGCCGCAGTGACAAGGCTCTCTCCAATCATTGTCGTCAATGCTCTTTGTGCCTCTATGCTCTTAAATGTGGGAGGGGGATTTGTCGATGCGGGAGCTACGTGCTCGGCTATGGGAGGGGGTTGTACTAAAGTTTGTACCTCTCTCTCTGTCTCTGGCTCACTGCCCAACTGGGCCATAACATCTCGCCCCAGAGTAGACCGTGGGTGTGCGGCAGTCGCTTCGGTACCTGTCTCCATGTCGCACGACTCATCGAGCTCACGTCCTCTCTCGCCCTCCCCGACAACAGATGACATCTCCAAGATGGTGGGTGGAGGGGAGGCATGCTCAGTCTGACCTCTCCCCATCTCCTCTGCAATGAGACACGACTGTTCATGGGTCATGGCAGCTTCCTCCTGCTCCTCTGTGTCGAGAGCTGCCTCCTGCTCGTCAACACCGGGACACACCTCCTCCCTGTCATGAGATGCCACCTGCTCCCCAACATTGGGATACGGCTCCTCTGCTACAGTTTGTAGGATAGGTCCCTCTGAAGGTCGTCTGGCCGCCCATCATCGAGAGGCATGCCAAACAACGGAGTGTTTGGGGGGGGTACTGCCATCTGAGGAATGCGTGTCAACCCTACGTCCGTGGCTGCAGCATTGCAGTCTGCCTCACCGTCAAAAACAGTAGAATGAAAGCCTGTGTCCACATGATGACCCTCATCAACCTGTCTGCTGCTCCCCTCCGACCTGCGACACTCCTCAATGTCCTTCACGATATGAAGGGTGTGTCTGCAGCCATGCAGGAACCCGTTGAGGTCCTCCACAACATCAAGCCCCCCCCACGTGTCCCACACACGAGACACTAGCGGGTCATCATGCACCTTCTCCTTCCCCTTCCATGCGACTGCAATCTCCTCAATCATGTCCTTCCTTGCCCATACGTCATCCGCATCGTAAATGGCATCCTCATCCTCCACATCGTAATCATCTTGCGCCTGCAACAGGCGCACACTGACACAATCACCCCCCTCCTTGGGCCGGGTGTGCATGTCAGCCTCTACCTCCTCCGGAATTGACATGCCCTCGGCGTACACCTCCTCTGAAGGATCGCCTACTGCTGGTTCTAGCGGCTTCTCCACCATATCTGCCCAAACATCCACATACCCCTTCCGGATAGTCGATTGTACTCTCAGAAGCTGCATGTTGCAATGAATGAACACGAGCTTTCCCAGACTATCACTCGAGAGTCTGTTGCGCCTCTTCGCGTAGATGAAGTCATGCGTGGTCCAATTCCTGTCACATGGAGAGACAGTGGACCACATGGCAAGCACCTTGATGGCGACTTCCTGCAGCCTCGGGAAGTCGCTACCATGCAAGTACCACCACCGCGCAGGGTACACCCCGTGCTTCGCCTGTGCGATCGCGACGGGGTTTGTCCACCATTTGGGCTTAGGATCCGCGTGGGGGTCATCATGGTGGAACAAGTATAAGCCCTACCACATCGTAGTATGCTCCTCTGACTTCGCTCCACCGTCCGCGTATGTTCCCAAATGGTGTTCTGCGCTCTGCACCAATGTGTTGTTAGTGTGAGTGAGGAGACTCACATCACGCCGTCGCAGGCCAACAAGGTATGCGAGCGCATACGCCGACTGACGCATCAGGCCCCAACGGTAGTTAACCCTCTCCATGATCTCAGTCTCATCTGCCTCTGGTAGGCCCATGTCGTGCACACGAGCTGCAATACTCTCGACAAATGTCCAAAGGGTGGTGGGGGATGAACCGTCTGTGCCCATGGAACGCAACAGGCTATAAGTTGGCCTCATGACGTCCTGCACGAGGTGCGCACTATCCCAAAATGACGCCGACAACACAAGTTGTCGAACAGGGCACTCATCATGCCTTGCCTTCCCCCTCGAGAGGATACTCCACCATCTCACACTGCCCACAACCATTCGCAATATCCTCTCCTGATCGGTGAGTCGCTCCACCATCTGATGCTCTGACCCGAACCGTGTGTCACATGGTCGGATCACCTCCAGCTGCCCCTGCTCCTTGAAGGACCGATGATACGAGGGAGCCTTGTCAATGTTCTTGAAGAACATCACAACCGTGTGTGTGTTCTTCAAGATCGGCCGCACCCACGGAAAACTCGTGATGTCGCGCAGGAGGAGACTCAAGCAATGGGCTGCATAGGGGAGTCGAGGGATCCGGGAAATATCTTTGTCTGGATAGTCTTGCAACCGCTATGCAGCCACCTTGTTTGCATAAGCGTTGTCAATGCAATTAGCATTGACATGCTTAACGTTGATATTGTGGATGACCTCCTCCCACAACTCTGTCAGTGCCAACCCAGTCTTTTCTCTCTCCGACATGTCAACAATGGTGATCAACACGGGCTCGTCCTCGCCTGCCTCGATGAAGTTGACGATACTAGGCTTGTATAACCTTGTCGTTGCTCCATCCATCATCATCGTACACCCCATCAATTTCCAATTTGCCTTCTTTGGAGCGACCCTCTCTGCAATCTCGTGATAAACCTCATCGAGGAGGGGCGTGCGCATGTTAGTGTATGAGGGGAGGACCAAAGTAGGCCCAATCGTGACCCTCATAAATGATACCATGAAGTCATGCAGCTCTTGCGTAGTCCCGAGCTGTATGAATGTGAATGGCACCCCAGCCCTATATAAGGCTCTGGCCCACAACCTCTCATACTGTTGTTGAAGACCTCCCTGTGCCCAACTATCCAACCTCGTCTGTAACGTACGACGATCGTGGGGCACAACAACACCCGACGGTGCACGTGTGTCCTTTATCCTGAGCCATGACAAGTTGGTTTTTTGACTTAAAGGTTGTTGTACAGCGTTCTGCACTTGAGTCGACGACACGCACCCTCTCTCTAAGGATAGACAGCTTGTCGTCCACGAGTCCATCGTCGACCTCTCCCTAATCCATCGTAACATTTTGCATCCCTTGGGCAGTTGACTGCCGTCCACGTCCACCCGCCCCATCATGCATCAACATACCTGTCATTGTGGCAGCGGCTCCTCGGCCCTCTGCAAGTCCTCCATCTCCAACTCTTCCTCGTGGACCTAGAGATGCCTGGCTGCCATTGCCTTCGCCAGAGGGTCAGTGATGGTAACCTCGTCCCTCATCAACTTATACAGGATCTCTCCCATACGGAATCTGCAATGCGCAGACAGACGGGTAAAGTGGTCTATCGCCTTTGTCCTCGCACCGGGGAAAACATTGTTGCACAACGTGCAATGTAACTTGTGTTGCCTCTTCCCCCGCACTCCCACCTCCTGCCCTTGACACACCTGTTCCCACACAATGTGCTTGCTTTGCAACAAGCGTTTTGGAGCCTCAGCAGCCTCCTGAAAAGGCGGGTCACCATCCGGGAGTTGGCGATCCACGTTGTGTCATTACTCTCTCTCTCTCTCTCTCTATCTATCTTTCTCTCTCTCTCACACACTCTTTGTACGTATGTAGCGCTATCAACATTCGACGTGAAACGGGCAGCCGTCACCTGTAGAGATTGAAAAAACAACATCCACATTAGGTTGGTTGTTTGCTAGGCTGATTGAGCGATAAATTCATTGATTGGTTGAATGATTGGCAGGTTGGTTGCTTGATTGATAAGGGTACTTTTTTTTTTCTTTTCTTTGACTAGCCGATTAATGAGGAAAGACGAGGAGCAGAACGAGGAGGAGGATGAGGAGGGGCTGGCGGTTGGAAAACAGACTCCTCCTCCTCCTCATCCATCCTCGTCCTCCTCCCCCTCCGCCTCCTCATCCTCCTCATCGTCATCCTTCCTCCTCCTCCTCCGTCTCCTCGTCATCCTTCCTCCTCGTCATGTTCCTCTTCCACCTCCCCCTCCTCGTCCTTGTCCTCGTCGGCCAATCTTGATATCCTCGTGGTCCAATCGATCATGAGTTCGGCCCCATACCGCCCTGACCAACTTTTTTTTTCCCCGTTAATCAATCAATGAGACAAGAAAAAAAAATCATCGGATTACTCTGTTAGATCAATCAACCAATCAATCAATCAATCGATCGATCGATTGATCGATCGATCGACTGACCGACCGACCGACCGACGGACCGACCGACGGACCGACGGACCGACGGACCGACGGACCGACCGACAGACCGACCGACCGACCTACCGACCGACCGACCGACCGACCATCCGACCGTCCGACCGTCCGACCGACCGACAGACCGACCAACCGACCGATCGACCGACTGATCGACCGACCGTTAGTCAACCGACCGACAGATGAACCGACGGACGGACCGACCGACCGACCGACCGACCGACCGACCGACCGACCGACCGACTGAACTGATTGGACTGATGACTGACTGAGTAGACTGAGTGGACTGAGTGGACTGACTGACTGACTGACTAACTAACTAACTAATTGACTGATTACTGACTGATTGACTGACTGACTAACTATCTAACTAATTGATACGCAATGAATATGATTGTGAACGATATACAGAAAACCTAGTTGCGAAATCACACAGATGTCCGAGCACCTGGGAACTATGGTAAACTCTTAAGAATAACAAAGGCTCGGGGTCCTCCGGGTGTACTCACGCTTAGGCTAATGGCACCTTTCCTCTCGTTTCCTTGGCGTACCTGAGCGCAAATGTTGGCAATCCCTATCAACAAGTGTTCCTGTATGAACACTCTTGTAGCTTGCATTCTCACAATATTAAGGAATTTCAACACGGGTTGCATACAACAAGCAATGGGCCAGGTCCCCTGGATCTCCCCGTTTGTTCAGGGTGCGGGACACTGTGTGGCATGGCTATAAGGTCATCCCAAAGTGTAAGCCATTGTACGACAAGACTACGAAATGATGCCATATCAATTAACAATCAATCAAGTCGCGAGCAGCATTGCAATACTAATCAGACTTGCATGAATGCCACACCTCATGATTGCATAACAGCCTGTGTCCTTGGTCGCATGACAACTACTCCTCTCTGTCTGCCCTGCACGCATGTCGAGAACCAAACCCAAAAATCAAACCCTAGTCCCTCTTGTAACGACCAATCGGTCGTTTCCCTGGACCGACAACTGACTGCTATGCCCTCGACACGTGGCACCCGAATACGCACATACGTGTCGCTGGAAAACAGAGAAGGTCCCGCGGTACTGCCCAAGTAGACCAGGTCCTACGGTACTACCGCTGACCCTGATTCCATGTCCAGTAGTCCCGCTCGTGGAACCGGTTTTCTAGACCCGGCTCCGGAATAAAGCCCCGACAAACACCCTCTGGTCTGGATACAAGCCTGACTAATGTGAGTATTGCAGACACTTTGGCCGACTCATTATTTTCTTTTATTATTATTTTATTTTATTTATTATCGAGGCTAATTGATCCCATCGCAGAAAAAAAAATAGAAATAAAAGTGAAAAAAAAAAAATCAGCGGTTGGGTCTCGGTGGAATTAGCCACAGAAAGGGTTAATACGTTTGATAACCCGTAGCGCAGTTTCCCGCCGTGAAGATGGGTGGGCTGAGCATCAAACTGTAGTTCACTTAAATTGGGCTAGTGGGTATCTCTTACCCTGCAGGTCAGAATGTCAAACCGGTGTGTCAATGATACACCGAGAAGGCTTTGAATGTCGGGCCTTCCGACATGATACCAAACCCTTTGCCCAACGTCCCCGCTGGGCCAAAACAAAGTAAACAAGTAATATAAAGCAACGAGAATCGATGTTGCACTCACTCATTTTCATAGTGATGCTTGCGAGCTTGCGTTTGCACTTTCTGCTTCTACAGCGCACTCTTCTTTTTTCCATTGTGGAGCAGTTCCGCGTGATCTACGTAATCACTCTCCTCTTTCTCCCTTAGTAGTGTGGTCTTCTTATTCTCACGACATTATTTGTCTCTATCTTCATCGTTACGCACCTTTTTCTTTTCAGCTTCTTCCCAATTGTAACTTCATCTTGTACCATGCCTGAGGCACGTCGCGGACAGGGAAGAGGAAGAGTTGGTAGGGGAGCAAAGGCGTGCGAAGGGTTGCCAGCTCGCGCACGACGCGAGTTTAACTCAGGGGAGGAGAAGGAAGAAGTGCGAGGATATGGTTTTTATGCAAGACCATACCCGCGTTACTCTCTCGCTGGTTGGCATGAAAGAACTCCATCGTCAACAAAGATGGAGTATTTCCAAAAGAAGTTTGAGGCGCGTTATGGCGTCCCAAGTCTCTCCTCTCCTCCGTACTCCCCCAGGGCCCCCACTACCCATGCGGCGAGTAGGGCCCTAGTGCCAATTCCTCCACCTTTTATCCCATGTACAGTTTCTCCTCCCTCTCATCTTAGTAACTGCACTTTTTTTTGCATCTTCTTTCTTCTTTCTTTGCTTCAGATTGAGTTCATGGTCGTTCTCTATATTCTCTATAAGCGCGACTTTCTCTCAAATTTCTGAATCTTTTCCTTTCAAATCTTTTGTTCATACCACACTTTATAGCGTCCCTGACTTGAGAGTTGAATATCTTAACGTCAGGGATGCAGGTTCCTTAAGAACCAGGCCGTTTGCCGACCACCAAGTAAATTTAAGAAGGATTTCCCATCTCCTACTGACTTGACTTGCTGTTGAATTCTCACTGAAGAAGTTACCTCGTTCCTTGTCTTGACAGTGTTGTCAGGGATACTGTCCAGGGATACTGTCCAAATGATATCAACATTGAGGACACTCATTCTATTTGTCATGATGGGGATACAGTATATCAAACCCTTTTTCTGTTCTCTGACCCGAGTGAGAAGTCTTTTCAGTTTCTCAGGCATCCGAAGGGGATACCAAACCCCGTTCCTTTTCTCTGGTCTGAGTGAGGCGGTTTCTCAACTTCTCAGACAGAAAAAAGGATACCAAACCCTTTTCTCTAGTCTTGAAGCTTTTGAAATGTGGGCATAATCCTGCAAAACAGCAAGTCCCACAGTCTTCCAAACATATCCCCAACATGCAGATTTCTGACAAACAATCACCATGCGGTAATAAGACAAAATAAATAAATATAGAACCCACAATAAAATAATAAACATAAATTGTTCTTCACACCTAAAAGTTATTGATTACTTTGGTTTCGGCCTACCACTGGCTAGGAATGACATACCTCCC